GGCGAATTTGTTAATAACAAGCGCCACGAAACAAACGCCCCCGTCTCATCCCGTCCGCGTTCTTAAGTTGCAGCGGCGTGGATCGAATAATAAGTTGATAACAGAATTATTCAAAGGTGCCGGGCTGAAGAGAACCAGTTTTCCGATTCCCGACCCCTTGCAACGTCGAATATATATATATATATATATATATTCTCTTCTTTAGAGCGGCGTAAACACGGTGCTTCGGGCGCGCGTTATGACACTTCGCTGCGCGACAGTTAAAAGAGAGTTTTGTAACTGCGCGTACTTCGTGCCGCATAATAGTCGCGAGGTGCGCACAACCGTTCAACACCTTAACGGGGCCGCGAGAGCGCACCGGCCCCGTGTGCCATTAAGTGAAAATCTGTTTCGAGTGCTTCTGCTAGAAATTGATATACGATGCAACTCAGCAACGCGGAAATAAAAGTATACGGCGCGCTCGCGCTCACTCTCGTTAGGTGCCGCTCGCATTCAGCGGAAAATTTGCGTCCAGGTAACCGTGTAGCTCGCGTATAAAGGATCGGCAAGGTAAAGGGGAAGAAGATGCAGTAGCGAGCGAGTGTTCAGTTTCACAAAACGGTCCCCGTCTAACGAGGACGACGCTAAACCGTTTCTAAGTAGCGCGCGGGCAATAACGACCGTCACGATCGTAAACGAAGGGAGGGGGACGAGATCCTCCCCGTGTCGAAACAAATCGGAATTGCTAGGCGATGTTAATTTTTTTTTTTAAATCATGGGTTGACGGTGTGTTTTTACGACGTGATAATGCGTGTGCCGCAATTAATTTTTACCTGCACGGAGAGAAAAATGTTTTGCTCACTTGTGATTATACTGATAGAAAATTATAGTTACTTTCTTTGCCAACCATATTTTATATATATGCAGGGTTTTCCATTAAGAGGTTTAATTTTAAATTTCGCGCCATTTTTAATATATTAAAGATAGAACTGCTATTCCTTAACAGCTGATAATTTAAAAGTATACAATTAACGGAAGTGAAACGATATACTTTTCAGCAACGTGCAGAATTTGTGAAAATTCACTACAAAAATGATGAAAATTTGTACATCTTGTGGAAAATGATATATGAGATTTCTTAAAAAAAAAATATAGCGAGTAAATATTACACTTATAATATCCCTAAATAATAATAAATTATAGAGCAATCAATAACATGCTATTTTGTTAATAATAGCGATTTTTAATTTTAATTTTGGGGTCTAAATGAATCCCGGGTGGTCGTTTACGTGAGAAATAAATAAGGTGACTACTCCCGAGTCGAGGATTTTTTCCTCGAGAAATCGCCGTTGAAAGTCGAAACAGTGATAACGCCCGAATAACATCTTTGCGCTTTCGAAGGCCCGTTTCTCTCGCCGCCCTTCTCAGTCTTTGGACCGCGAGAATTTACGATGTACTCCGACGAAAGTAGCGCGCGCCCGAAATGCGAAACGAACGTGTAACCGAATTTATAAAGTGCCCAAGTCAAATTCATAACCGTGTAAAGCGAGTAACTCACGAGTTGTCGCGCGCGCGCGCTCCCTCCCCCCGCATCCCGCTGCGCCCCGGAAAAAGGTGTACTCTGCGAATTATCCCCGGTGTAAAGCGTGTAGAGCCGTGGATCACAGGGCGCGTCGAGTAGCGCGAGTTCGCAAACGCGCCGAAAGTCAAGGCGCGGATAACTAACTTCCGTCTTTAAGATGCGCGAGTGTGTACATTAAGATCCCGCTACATAAGATACTCAATCCCCTTCGGTCCAACCTCTGCTCGTGCATCTTGCATCAGGTCTCCTCCTCTTCCACCACCCCCCTCGTTCTCCTGCTCTTCCGGCTCTGAAGGAGCGGATCGACCGCGCCGACTGATACGGTGGTACTTCCTAATTAACTCTCTGGATTTCCTCGCACGCCTTCGTTGCAGTGTCATTATCCAAGCCCCCTCTTCCAGCACCGAGGTCTCTCGCAGTGCGTCGCTCGCATGCCCGCTGGGCGCGAATTGTATCGATCGATCGTGGTCCTACAGCCTTGGCTGCGGTTAGCGATGGCCCTCGAACCGGCACTTAATATGTTCGTGTCGGAAAGGTGTAAAAGCATGGGAGCAGCTCATTCTCCGCTCCATCTCTCTCTCTTTTTCTCTTGAAACTCGCGAGAAACTTCGAGAGCCGGACGGACCACTTTCGAGATTAATTTCACTTTTGATGTACATAGGTTCCGGGAATAAATTTATTTAGGTCGGCTGTTGTACGTGGACTGCTTTCGAGAAGCGCCGATTAAAGTACATTGATGTAAAAGGAGACCATGTTGAGAAATAAATATATTTCAAACCGACAGATTGTCGCTTACCTTTTCGTTTCGGATACTCATCAGCCGCCCTTCTTAACTGCAATTTCTTCGCAATGCACCACGAAGGTGGCTAGAAATTAGTTCGATTATTGGATCGATCGTCCGGACGTCTTCGTTATGATGACGGGCGCGATTGGAACATGACGTAAAGCCCAAGTGGCGTATCTAAAAGCTCCGGTATGACTCCTCATTGAAATGCCCGGAAGTGCGCGATTCGAGAGAGCAGAGGTGGGAGAGCTTGATTTTCCACACGATGAAGAATGTCTGGACGGTGTTCGGTATTTTCAACATGGTTTCCCGTATCCGGATGGAAAGTGAAGTCGCCTGGGATGACCCTCGGGTCGACGATGTCTGGCGGACGGCGATCCCATGAGCGTTTCGTCTATCGAAATGGTTTCATATCAGGCAACTTTAAAGCCGCCGTCAGATGTAAAGTTACTGTTCGCTTCCCCTCGTGTTTCCCCTCGTGGGCTCCCACCCCTCCTGCTCATCCCTCTTGATATTTTCCGCACTCGTTACGTGATACATATATATATATATAAGACGTCTTTGTGTCGCGGACCGCATGGATCCGTCCGTTAGCCGTCAAAAAATCGCGAACGCCTCACGCACGCGATCGGAAACAATTCATCTCTCTTTCTCTCTCCCTCTCGCCCCCGTCCCTTTCACCCTCCCCCGGACGGGGTCGCGCGACCCTTCCTTCCTTCCTTTCCCGCGCGGAAATTCGTGGATCGCCGGAGCGTGTCCGGATTTGTTGAAATTATTTCGTCGTCGATGCCGAATAATACGGGCCGCGAGCGCGAATTAGGCACAATCCTGGGGTATTACATTGCATAATTACATACCCACTTCATTATTGCATATCGGGGGAGAACGAGCCGGACCGGAGCCGGCCAGACACCCGCCCGGACGGGCGGACGGCCGGCGGTTAAACCTTGGGCTTGGGGGATGAAAATTCAGTTCGACGTGCAATCACCGAATTTCAGACACGTGTACGTCAGTAAATTGCCGCCGATACGGAAATATCGGGTGAACGCATGAATTGCGAACGCGCGAGCGAGTTGCGCCGCCCACGCGTATGTGTACGCATGCTCATGTATGTGTGTGCGCGCGCTCACCGGCGCGATTATATATTTATATACACGGGGGATTCGATTACACGGGCACTCGGCTTCGCGTCGATGTTGAACGTTATAATTTTAGCAGATATTAAATAGCCGGTCGCATCCTGCTCGCGCGCGTCTACTCGATTCGAAGTAAATATCCATCGTCGCACGCGCGCGCGTGTGTGTGTATGCGTGCGTACGCGTGTGAGGATGAGCCATGAGGATGAAGCGCGCGCGCGCTTGCTTGCGTCGTTGTGTTCGTGTGCGTGTGTGTGAGCGCGTATGCGTGCCAGTTTTAAGCGGCCTATACATTTTTCGCGTATTAAAACTATTGACCGTGGAGGGTGATTCGCTCCCGCGAAATTGTGGCACGTTGGCGGCTCTAATGCGCACATTTTCATCCCCACCGCGGATAATACCGGCTTTACGTGTGTGTGTGTGTGTGTACGGGTGTGGGTGAGAGCACCGATCGACGACTTGTGGATTACCTCTTTCTGCATATGGCAGGCCGCCGCGTGTTAATGCGATTCGTCACCCTGGCACGCGCACGTTTTTTTTCTATACTTGATCTCGACCAGCGTATTTTAGCTCTCTTCGATGGGATCTTTACGAAAAGTTGAGCGCGATAGATACTGAGAGAACTTTCCTCACGCTGCTACTCGGAAAACTTGGAGTTAACTTTACGGTGACGAAAATTTGGTGGCGGAGGAAAAGAGAGAGAGAGAGAGAGATCATCATTTATATTAAATTTCTAATTTTCGTCTCGTCTTTGTAGAAGCAAGTAGCTGACTCTTTTGCTATTCTATATGCACGTGATCATTCAGTTAGGTGACTAACTATTTATTTAACGATATTTTAACACAGCTCGATATTAGCGTTACACATGACGCACGGATTCCTCACTTCAAGCTCATCTTTATTCAAAATTTCCAATCCTAGTTAATACGTTCGTTATATATGTGAAAAAAGCATCAAAACCGACATTCTATTTTGTTTTTAGGCACTAAAGCCCCGTTGAAGGGGTTGAAATTAAACTTTATATGCGAACCAGCAACATTTTTCTACTAAAATATATGATAGTCTTCTGAAAACTATTATATATTTTCTTGTAAATATGTATTTTTTTAACGTTTGAGAATTGACGCTTCAAGAAACTAGGCCTCAAAACCGATATACTCATGATATACTTATAGGAAATTATCCAAAAAGTATAATGAAAATACCGAAATTACATTATTTTATACGTTATATATGTTTACATATTATTTTTAATCTCTTTAATATTTTTATTATGTGGAAGGACTGACTTTATCTTTCACCTTAAACAAACAGCGGAAAATCAATCACCGGCAGCTTTTTCTTTCTATATTCATACAAACGAATTAAGTGTATTTTAAACAATTACATGAAAACAAATACAATGTGGGAAGAAATCCGCAAAAAAACGTGATAATGCGTTAGAAACCCGATAATTATATCTTAAGAAATCTAATAATTTCCTCAATTTAAACTAAACCATGCTTCTTTTTTTTTGTAGATCTGAATCGCAGCGTCGATGGATGGGAGGAATTGCTACATTCCCGGATCCCACATCGTGTTGTGTGTCAACCGCACGAAATTGCGACGGTCCTGAATCCCGCGTTGCGTTGTGTCAACCGTTCGGTGAGTCATAAATCATTCTGATAAATAATAACGTTTAGTAAGATGTGGTTTAAGATTAATATGCTCCACGATATCGAGAGCGCGAGCTTTCGCGGGCATAACGAATAACGTCCGAGAAAGATGAGGTGGGTAAGGGAGGAGAAAGAGATATTGTAACGTTGCTCTTCGAATTTTCGTTTCCCCGTTTTTTCCCTCAAATAATGTATACAACGGACGGACGTTTTCGCATATTTCGCGTCCGATCGCGTGTTATTCTTACACGATATATATATACATATATATATACCCCGACGCGAAGCATATATCGCGACTGCAGTAGATCCCACCAGAAATACCGCCAAGTCCACAGACGATTTTCTCGTGTGCGAGGAAAAACAACGGGGCCCGTCCCTTTGCCAAATGCTACGCGTATACGCGCGTGTGCGCGATAAAAATGCAAATTTTCGGGAAGAATCTGCGTGCGCGCGTTGCTTGTTCACATTGCGTGCGTGTGTGCGCGAGTGGGTTGCCGAGCGAGGGAAGGGTGGCGTGCGTACGTGAGTGGATGCGTGCCTGCCTGCGTGTACACTGGGGATATATTCGACAAACGAATGATACGGTTCAAAACACGATCTGCAGTGATTCGCAAAGCATAGAGAACAGCCGTCGATAAAATACCCGGAAATAGGATATTCTTGTCCCCCTTCGAGACTCCGTGTTATAGTAGTCAGGCTGGATGGATGGATGCACGTTTGATATACTGTCTACGCCGATCGATCACGCAGCCCGTTCTACTCGCCTCGAATTCACAAACGCGAGCGCGGAACAAACGTACCGCGCGCGCGCGGAGAATCGTGTCGAAAGACCGCCGCCGGAGCGACCGCTCGTCGTTCAATTCGAAAATTCCTCGCCATTGATTTTTAACCGCGCGATTGCGCGCTTGATATTTATTCGCGTCATCCCCGCGCGAAATATCGTCCGTTCCCGCCGATTCGTCCCGTGTGTCTGAATCTGGATGGCTCTCTCCGAGTGCTTCCGGATTACATCGGGATGCGGAAGTTAGCGGTCCGCGGTTTAGACGATTCTTCGGGAGAGAGGGAAATGCCAACGTTTCCGAGTCGAAATTTTAACGCTTCCTCACTTTTCGCAAATTTCAGCGTATTATTACACGAATGTATGTGTGTACATTTGAGTGTTTCGTTCGTTATTTAACATTTCATTCGACCGGACACATTGTAAATGATGCGAAATTAAACAATAGCATGGCATTTTGTTAATGTCGCCCTCTAAGAGTGCTGACAATGCGACCCATTTTTTCGAGGTTTTCGTATCGAAGATTTCATATCGTTATTCGATAAGTCAATTCTAACCTATAATTCACTGCTACACTTAGGAATAAAGTTGAAATAGGAGTATATTGTATCATGAGAATTAGGTTCCTATCTTGGCTCCAGCTGTATTATAAAATTAAAGGTATAACATAGGGCCGAAATTTCGTCCCGAGTCCCTTCCGGTACACGTTGACGCGCGACGCAACCTTAAGTCACGCCGGTCCCCCCGGGGGACTTCACAGATTTAGTAGACCAGCTTCGGGCGTGTAGAACCTCGCCGCTTTCGCGGGGTTTCGCGCATCCGATTAATCTTGGTGGCCTTAAAGTATACATAAACGAGCGGCGAGTCGGTCGCCGTTTCAATTATTACTGAACCGCCTTCTGCCAGTCAGCCGGAAACGGCAGACGGGCCTGTGTGCGCCCGTCCGCGCGTATATATCGCGCGCGGAGTTTCACGGGGGTCTGAAATTTCGACGTAGCGAGGAGGTCCCGAGGAGAAGGAGGAGGATATATCCCTTGCATCGTTTATGACGGGTTTCTGATTCGGAGATGAGTGTACGTGGGACGCATAAGATAGGGTCTCACCTCGGCAAATCTGCACGTGACCCTAATACGGGTTACCGCGCCACCCGGATTCGCACGTTCCCATGTGCATCCTAAAGTCTAAACACTCCTATATGAGTCGGGGCTTTGCTCGGCCACAGTATCGCTCACACTCTCTCCCGCGCAAGCGTCTGCACACACGTCTATACACGCGCGCACGCTCGCCTGCAGATGCATATAATGCATCGATATACACGTGGTACATATATGGCGCACACACATGCGCGCCTCCGCGGGAGACCGGCTTCAGTCACTTTCAAGAGACAAACTATCGAGTCACCGCCGACTCCGCCGGCCCGGATGAGGTCGTTTCTTCTCTCTTTCTCTTGCGCCGAATTTCCATCTGGCTCGCCAAATTCCAAAACCCTCCTCGACGATCGAAATTCACCGCCGGTCTCGCGACAGTGTATCATCTCTGCCGTTGGATTTTCATCGCCAGATATATATATATATATATATACATATATTGGGTGAGTGCAAAAGTTCGTGTCCGATTCCGAATAAATGTCATTAGATGAGTTGTATATTAGCGCTATTAATTGTTACACTGAGAAAAAAAATTGCCATGTTCAAATAAATATTACTATTGCAGAAATTTATTTTATTTGGATTAAATAAATATTACTTGAATGTAGCACTTTTTTTTCTTCCACTGTGCTACATTCAAATAATATTTACTAACTCAAATAAAAAAAATTACTACTTCTTAATAAATATTTACTTGAACGTAGTTTTTTTTTCAGTGTATTGCACATCTCACGGAAAACCGCATACTTTGTGAGTTTTGAAAGGGCGTAACAATTGGAACTGCCGTAAGAAATATTCAAGATTAGGATCGTGCACCAGCAATTCGACGGATCGACCGTATTTCGTATCCTGAAAGTTAGTTTCTGAAGTATCATACTCCCTTTCTCATTTTCCATGTTTAAATAAAAATATCTCGATAAAATTGTGCTATCATTTATAAATTTTACATATGTTTGTAAGAATTATTTTTACTTCAATTTACATCCAAAACACGCTCTTCAAGTTAGTACGGTATGCCATGTAACACCTTGTACGTATCTTTCGTTCGTACGTCACTCCGTCAGGTGGAAAAATATTCATAGCATTTTTTTCATGCTCGGAATATTTTCAACCGTTACTATACAAGAATTAGGAGGGAAGGGGAGAGAGAGAGAGAGACGGAGCGATGAATCAATTAGCGAAACTGTGCCAGGCGTCACAGACGGCGGCGGCGTAGCGCAGCGCAGGATTAAGACCGGCGTTATCGATCATATTCGCGTGCTCCGGATTATCGCGTTAATCGCGTCGTCGCCATTTCCATAAAGCGATCTCGCCCTCGCTCTGCATTTGGCGTTTATCAAGGATACGGGCATGCAAGTGGGCTATCTTTTTCGCGGACGTGGACGAATGCTGATGCGGCCGGCGGAGATCTTCGGAATATACACGGTGGCTTTGGATGTCGGGGATCTCCCGGTCAGTGGCTGTTGTTTTATTCAAGAAGCTGAATATTGAAACGAGAGTCAATACCGGCCATCCGTTTCCGCGCGGAGGAAAACGGATGCGCTTATATTCTCACGCTTATACGATTGCGGCGAGGCCGGGGCGAGAACGCGTCCGCCCCTTTCGAACGAAGGTCCGCACCCCCTCCCTCCCTTTCTCTCCGTGAACCACAAATTACCTTGCCCGGCTAATTGATCAGTCGTCTATCGCTCACGATTAGACAGCCCCGTCGTCATCGTCGTCGTCATCGTCGGGGACGCGAGTGTCGCTAACGGCGGTCTGTCTAATGGGCGTCGAATCGCGTTATCGTTGCCAGACGTACGATTGAGTGTCCGTCGACGCACGCAGGGGGCGAGTACTTGTATGTTCACGACAGAACTCCCAAACAGGCTTTCATGATTATCCCACTGGAAGAAAAAATATATAGAAAATTTGAAATATTTTTTCACTGTAACAAATAATATATTTAGTTAAATTTAAATTCTTTTATTTAAATGGAATAAACAATTGCTTTCGTCAACAGTTACAGATTCGAGAAAATATAAATTTTGTCATTTGAAACCATTTTTTTGGCGTAAAAATATCTGTATTGGTATAAGTGAACATGTATGATTAGTATCTGCCGGATAAATATTTTTTAATTTTTTTTTATTTTCTTCTCAGTGCACGACGACGTGAGATAGTCGATAAAGGAAATAAATGGGAATCGAAAGAAAACTTCACTCGTTTAATTTCTATTTTTCATTGTTTATTTGTTAACTCTCTAACCACAAGTTTGGAATCGGATTCGACCCCAAGGCTCGTTTATTTTACAGTTATTTTTACAGCGTGTACGCGCTGTTTCTCCTCTTAAGAAATGTTTTATATTATTACTTACTTCTTTTACCCATTTTGCACATGAAAAATGAACAGGACGTGGAGGTCTAATTCAACCCAACTTTTCTATATACGATACGTTGAAAATTCACCTTGTTGTTAGAGGATTAATTTATTTTTGTTCGTTTATTTAAATTTTTATTTGTTTAATCACATTTTTTGCATTAATCGTTAAATTTATATCGCACAGATTAAGTCTGATTCGGTTACTGCCAAAGCAAGTATGTTTTCGAAAAAATACGTTGCGGTTCACTAATAAATTAAGTTACAGAAGCACGTGTATACTCTATGACCGAACAAAAATTACATAAAGCACATATAAAGGATATAGTCTTTATAAATCGATCGGTAAGATCGATAGTAAAGTAAGTTGCTCCCAAATTTGGGTGAACTTGTCTGTGTGGCTATAAATCTGACGAACTCACGTGGTGGACGATTCTTCGTCGTTTCACGGATTTTATAATTTTACCTCTTACTTAATTACGTCGTAAGATTTCTTTGTGTCTTCGTGACTCAGAAATATGAATTATACGCGCGACCGTTTTAAATCGTTGTATATATATGCAACGGTCGATATAAAATTTAAACGCGACATTTGGTATCTCTCATATGTCGATCCTCCTTTTTCGCTCTACATTACGCTTTAATCGACGGTTTCCAAGCATATCGTACCGCTAAAAGGTTCTCGTGAAATATTTAGGCGAC